TTCGTTCGGTACACTTCGGTACACACCTGTACCGAACCGAAGGGCCCGTACCGAATAATTTCGGTACGGGTACGTGTACCGTTACACCCCTAATGACATCACAAAGGCGTTAATGGAGTGTCTTGGAAGAGATTTTAACGAGGATTTTTTAGGTCAGTGTTTCGTTTATTTTGCATGTGATGGGGCTTCAGTCATGCTAGGGAAGAGAACAGGCGTTGCTACCCAGTTGTGTAGTAAATTCCCAAGCCTGTTTGTGTGGCACTGCTCCAATCATCGTCTAGAGCTGGCAGTTGGGGATGTGGTCAAGGAGGTCTCAGGGCTCAATCATTTCCAGATCTTTTTGACAAACTCTATTCCTTGTTCCATGCCTCCCCCAAAAATCAGAGGCAGTTAGCGCAGTGTGCGCAAGCAGTCGGACAGCGTCTCCTGGTGATAGGGCGTGTTTTGTCCATCCGCTGGGTGGCTTCAAGTGAAAGGAGCGTCAGATCAGTCTGGGAAAACTACCGAGTGCTTCATGATCACTTCACAAATGCTGCAAACGACACGAGCAGGGATTCCAGAGACAGAGCAAAGTACAAGGGCCTGGATGATGTGCTCACATCTGCAACGTTTGTCAGCAATCTGGGACTGATGTACGATGCGCTCACAGAGCTCAGCGACCTCTCTCGGCAACTCCAAAAAAGAGAGATGACACTGCCTACAGCAGATAGGCTCTTAACTCGAGAAATACGAGTTTTTGAATCCATGGTCACCATGCCTGGCCCACACATGACTACAGTTCATACAGCTCTAGCTGAGAAGTCCTTCAAGGGTGTTGCCCTGCGTGAGAATGGCAGGCTTGTACAGATTCATGCAGGTCAGTTTTTCCGCAGTATGGTAGAGAATCTGAGACACAGAATGACTTCCACAACCTCCTCTCATGTCAGCACAAGATAAATCCCATTACATGGCCGGGAGGCCCGGGACAATCAGCTAATCCAGGACATGAAAGTTATCCATCCTGGAAGTTGGCCTGAAGAGGAGTTAGACGTACAGTATGGGGACGTAGAGGTGCTACGTTTGTGCGAAGTGCTGAAAGTGGACAGAAGAGAGACTGTTCAGGGCTTTCGCGAATACAAGGAAACCAGGGCATCCCGTACACCTGCTGCCATGGAGCCTCTACTGAAAGCAGTCCGAACCATCGCTGTCTCCACTAGTGAGTGTGAGCGGGCATTCAGCTGCATGAACGATATCCTTACTGCAAAAAGGAATGCTCTCTCTGTCAGCCGACTGTCCAGCCTGGTTTTCATTAAATGTAATGGACCATCACTAGGACAGTTCAATCCGGAACAGTATGTGAGGTCCTGGCTGGCAAAGGGAAGGAGAAGTGCTGATGAAAGAGCCTGTCCAGCTCCAGCCCCTGATACTGATGTCCCCAAGGCCTTCTGGAGCCTTTTCTAACAATGTGAAGTATATTGCAAAGCAGCTCACCCAGTGAGAAGACTTTTGGCATAATGTGCCGATTTGTACAGATCCTGGAGATAGAAGGACTTCAGACCAACCAGGGAGTTATCTGATCAGCTTGGTGTTCAATGTAACTCTTTACCATGGCTCAGACTTTGTTACTTGCAGTTACAGTTTCTCATTTTAGATTGTGCAAATTTTGCATTTGTTTTTTACATGTTCTTTGTTCATGCTCTTTATCATTTTTCTGAGTTGGAAAGTTAGATTGCATCATAGTTTACTTTATACATATTTGTATTCTTCAGTGGTGAAGTATATTGCAAAGCAGCTCAGCCATGTGAGAAGACTTTTGGCACTTTTTCGTTTTTCGTTTTCTGAGTTGGAAAGTTAGATTGCATTCAAAATGTACAGAAATACTTAATTTTGTTAAAGCTTTTTATAAAAAATGCTTCTGACCAGAGCTTTGTTTCCTTGTCATTAATGTTGAACACCACCAGAGGGGCTCTCACCTGAAAGGTCTCTGCTTCATGTGTCTTCAGCAGAAGATCTAGACTTTGATTGCTATATTTTCAGTTAATATTGACCTTACTGAGCTTTAGCCATATCCGCTGCCTATCATAAAAAATGTTAAGTACAGTGAACCTTTCTAAAATATACAGTAGTAAAGAGACAAACCCACCAGCATTATAGTAGCCAAATTCTTGTTTGTGGGCTGTATATATAAAATTGACTTGAAAAAGTTGCTGATTTTAGAGTACTGGCACCTTTTTCATTCCAATTCAAGCACTGATTAGGAGATACACAGGGCCAGTGATAATTGCGAGAAGACACAAACAGGAATGGAGAAAATACATGATTATAGCATGAGGGGCTAAAAAACAAAATAAAACACCAGCGATACTTGGCACAATCAAAGTAGGATTTTCCTCCCTCGTGACTCCTTTGTCTTTGTCTGACGCTGACGCTCCAGGAAAGTGTTACCTGAAATGGACACCTGATTGCTGAGTTCTTACAGCTGTGGGGCCACGCCCCTTTAATTAGTTAACTATCTGCAGCTGGTGGCCCTCAAAAGGAAATCTCGACTGGCTCCCTCCTGAGTTGTTATTGTCTTTTCAGTGGCACAATGGATTTACAATTACATTAAACTAGTGATGGCGAGATGAAGCCTTATGAAGCTTTGAAGCTTTCCAGCCAATTGGTATGCAAAAGGATTCATCTCATGAGGCTTCATCATGAGCTTCATTTGAACCTATGATTTGAACACAAACCCCCTGTTGGTCAAGTGTGTAAAACAGGCAGATTGGACATCTCAACAGTGTGCTCTATCTCATACCGAGTTCCCAATGAGTAAAGCCTTAGAATAACTCTAAACAACGAACATTAAATCATATTTTCATGTTAACAATATTGTTTTTATTCCAGTTGAATGATTGTGATTGAAAAGCCTAAGGAGGCTGGTAAACATTGCAAAGAGGGATTTGTATTCCTTAATAATATTCGTAAACTTAACCATGTTGTAGCCTGAGAAAGGCGAAACCATATCAAAGAATACATTTATTAACTACATTATCTCATTTAGCTGTAGCTTTTATAAACAACAAAAAATACGTATTTTTCAGTCGTTGAACCAGGGACCCTGCGGTTGTGAGTCAACTGCTTTCCAGCTGAGCCACAGCACACACGCTGAATTTCACCGAAAACACTGGACTATATTTATTCCTGTATTTATTCACTTATTTATTCCTACATTTATTTATGCTTGTATCCATTTATACTTATAACATATTCCGACCTCTATATGAGTGAGGGTCTGAGCTCTTTTAATTCCATCGTGTCACCGGGCCCGGGTACAGGAAGGGTAATATGGTTCTTATTATACATCCATCGGTATTATGAACGTTGTGGTTCAACCGGGTTCAACGGTTCAACCGATCTGAATCGCTTCCTGAAGCAGTCACGTGGTATCGACAGGCAGCGAGGCTTCGTTTGTCATCGGTGACGTCACTGGCCCAAAACGATACAAGCCTCGATACAAGCTTCACAAAAAGCTTCGGGGATTACTCGACACACGCTCCGAAGCCTCGGCGCAATACGTGACATCACTACATTAAACCCTAAGTTATAAAGTTATGAGTTTAACCCTTGATACAGTTACACCTACTCAATAAAGCTCTTAGTATTCTACAAATGTTTAAATCAAAGTTAACCCTAGCAGTCAGTTAGTTCAGTTTTAAGGTTTCTGTCAAATTAGTTGTCCCAAGTTTCTGCCTGACAGATACTGTAGCCAAGCCCGCCTTAACCTGCCATCAGGCCCTGGGGCTGATGGCAGGTTAAGGTCCCCTATTTAAACAACAAATCAAAGTCATTTATAGCCTCGGCAGGCTCTGTGATCGCACTTCTCCACTCTGCTCCACGCGTGCCTGGTCCTCTCCTCCAGATGAGTGACGTATCGGGCCTCCCTCATGTATTTGTCCGGTTGCCGTTGGCTCCCCTCCACATAGCAAGTCCTCGTCGTCCTCTCCTCCAACATCCCTCCTCTCTGTTTTTCCTCTCCCGCTACTCCATCGCTATCAGAACCAGACGGCCTCCTTGGCTCCGAGGCCCCGCTGCCGCTCGGTACAGAACTCATCTGTCCTTCCTCCTCATCCTGGCCTACAGGTTTAAAATAACCTGTAAGCTTCGGCATTTTTTGTAATAGCTGCTTGTCTCGAAACTCCTTTTCCCTCAACAATTTCCTTTTCCGAGTGCCACTCTCAAACTTTTTCTTCTCTGAAATGTTTTCCTAAACAACCTTCATCTGTCACTCAATCACTCGCAATTTGAATAAGTCACATGTGAAATATTCTCATTCTGATTGGCTGTTAAGTGGTGCCCACTGACTGTTACGGAGTCAAAATGTTTGAGAAAAATCTCTGGAATCCATCGATCTGATTGATTAGCGGAGCAAATGATCAAAATAGTATGGAGGGAAGATATTTTCGTTTGGATTACTGGTCTGGGGGAAGCGAGTGTGTGTGTGTGTATAAGTGTGTGTTTGTGTATTTTTGCGTTTGTGTGTATTGTGTTTTGTGTGTATTATTTATCGTGGGATTTTGGAAATAAAAATGTCATATTCTGAAAGCCAAGACTTTGTTTATTTAAAAAAAAATAAAACATCCGAAATAAAAAATAAAAAATATTTTTTTGTTGTTGTATTGGCTCATGATAGGCCCCCAATCTCCGTAGGCCCCTGGGCTTCAGCCCAGGTCAGCCCGTGCATTAAGGCGGCCCTGACTGTAGCGGTTTTGAGATTTAAAATCACAATTTCAATCAGATCAACTACAGAGCATTTATACTGAGTACACACACTGAAACAGAGAAGTCTAAAAACAGAATGTTACTCACACAATTCTTTTTTTATTTATTTATTTTTATTTTTAAACCTTTATTTATCCAGGTAAAATCCCATTGAGATCAATGATCTCTTTTCTAGAAGTCACCAGTTGTTATCCTGTCAAAATCGAGTTGCACACTGAGCAAATAGATTATTTTTCAATGGCATTTTGATGTGTCTTATTCCTGTCTGTGGGAAAACAGTAGGCTCTGTCTGTAGAAACAAACTGCACTTCAAAGTGGCAGTTCACCTCCTAGTACACACCAACGCAACACATCATCCTGTCAGCACAGGTCACAGAATCAGACTGGTAACAAAATACGCTGTAACACCACCCAAACTGGCAACCCCAGAAGTTCCTCAGCCAATCAGCGTACAGCTGGTTTGACCCGTGCTCAGCTGAACGCGTCCGCAAGCAACAATCGAGCGCTGTGACAATCAAGTGGACCGCCTAAAAAGTTTGTATTTTCTATTAAATGTAACGCTAGTCAAGATTATTTGGCGGCATTGCAGTTGGTGAGCGAATTATATGATACTGTAGCGATAGCATTTATCAAACTAGCCATACATATTTCGCCAACGTGAAATACGGGACCTTTGCTATTAGCTATCCAGTTTTAACGTGTCTGAGCTAATGTGTGCTAGCTAATTGGCTAACTAGGAATAGCCAAAGCTTTCAGAACGGTTATTTTGTCATATTGTCAACTAATTTCCCCCCAAGTGAATTTCCTTCCAACCATGTAATGTTCACTGCTCTTTACAAAGGTACATGTACGAGATGGGACAGCAGAAGGGCACTAAAGGAGGAGGGAAGACCAAGGAAAAAGCAACGAAGCAGCAAAGGCTAAGTGGTAATGACAGCGCTGGTGCCTTAGGAGATGCGATCAAGAACAGGTGAGTAGTGTGTGAGAAGGTAAATATGGATAGCTGAATGATATGCTGACAAACACACTTCAGCTAGCACTTATTGATTAATCAATCAAGTGTCATTATAAAATAAATTACCTGTATAGTTACCCTTTCATAGTTGTCAAGCTAGAGCAGCTCACTAATAATATATGAATATGACCTGACTGCAGCAGATGCAGCATCTGTTCAGCCTCAGCCAAGGCCAGACATCAAAGCAGTTTTTTGCAATGATCCTGTAAGCAGCATTGCCTTTCGTGTTGTTGAAATGTGGAGACAAGTTCATTTTGATTTAGAAAATAAAGATAAATCAGATTGGAGTTTGAGAAATAAGGCATTATGTGTTATCAAAGGAGATACAACTGTTTTTGAGAGAGTGCTAAGTTGGCTGAGTTGTCAAGAGGGCCACTGGCATGACTGCGTGCATTAATTTCAGAGAGTACAGTGGGTACTCCATCTTCATATGAATACATTAATTTACCTTGATATCTGATGCGTTTATTACCATGCATATGTGAGCAGACAAATGAATGTGGAGTGATCTGTCATTGGATTGTGTAATTGATGAGAGCAGGGAGATGAATAGACACCTGTAAGCGCTCCTGGCAGCAGAGCAGGCGGCTTTGTGTGACGGCTCGCCTCTTGTTATTTCATGGCACACTGACTGAATTACTGATTAAGGTTCAACTTATCCTTATCAGCTCTGAGACTCAGGGAAAACATTTTCCTGAGCGTGAAAGGGCGTCTTGCTTTTAAATGCAGTACTGCCTTAGTGTGATGCTCCAAACTTACGTAGCTGGGGAATAATGCTGTTTATCTTCCTGTTATATCTAGCCCTGAAGGGTGGGAAGGTCAAACTGAAAATAAATATGTTAAGATGTACTCAGATGAGATGTACTTTATACATCTTCAGAACTTAAAGGGGACCTATCATGCAAAATGCACTTTTGTGCGTCTTTTATACATGATTATGTGTCCTGGTGTGTCAGGGAACTCACCAAGTGTCAGAAAACACAACCCTCTCTCTTTTCCTCCATACCCAAATCTCTAAAAACGGGGCTGCAACAGAGTTGATTATTATTTGAATTGTTCTGCCGTCAGAAAAGGGGTGCTCCGCCTATATGGGCAACTCTCCACCTATCAGGGGAATGAGAGACTGCTGGAAAGCGCTGGAGACGCTGTAGTACATATGCCAGGCCTGTAAGTGGCGCTGTAGCCTGCCACAAAAGCAGAATCAGCCCTTGCAAAAACAGGGCTAAAAAAGAGCAAATGGAGCGAAATGAGGCATGGATAAAATGCATGATCTGTTTGGTATTTTGAAAAATAAACTTCACAGACAGTTTTATATAGGTATGGCCCTACAATATATTTTTCCAATATAGTATAATAGGTCCACTTTAAGATGGATCCTCTGAGACACCACTTGTGAGAAGGCTGGCATCTCATAGTGTTGTCTTACTCGAATTATTTTAACCAATATATGACCAAATGCTCTACCGTGAAAGTGAAAATCCACCACATCTTATGTGGACGTCAATTTGGTGTTGATAGTAAATCTAGTCATTTGAAATAATACATACCGTGATGCTGATTCTAAAGAGTTCTGTAGGACAGAGTACTAAAACCCTGCAAATTAGTTAGTGTGGTTCCACTTCTAGTTCCTGGTTAGAAGCCTGAAATAAGCTCTGTGGTTCAAATCAATGTTGTGTTGGGAATAATCATGCTGAACAAAATGTCCACGTATCATAACCTTGTGTTTGCCACAGAACCTATGATCAGCAACATTTCAAAATCCAATTGAAAATTCCCATTAGCTTGTTGAGGCAGCCCTCGTGATGCTAACTTAAGGATCAGCTTACAAAAGTATGTAATGAGTCCTCTTGCGGGCCGTGCCTAAATGTACCAAGATGCATTGCGTTGAAGCTTTGAAAGCTCATGTATCCTCTTGCACATCTCAACACTGTAAAATATATCCTCATCGAAACCATCCTCTGCACATTTTGATGTGCTCTTTTATGTGGTTGGAAACGTGAGTTAGTCTGCTATAAAAGCAAAGAGAGAATATCAACTTTTTGTTATTTAGAGACTTGAAATCTAAGTTAAAATAGCCTGTTGTTCTTCCTTGCATCAATTAGGCAATATGAAGTCACATGAAGGCACTGTAGGAAAAACAATATCTTCCACAGCAGGTAACTCAGCTTTCTGAGTCAACACAGCACACACTGAGGAGCTTATGCTTTAAGCACATACATGTACATTCAAACGTATTGGACATCCACTTGAAAAGTGTCTACATTTCCCATTAAGCTTACACTTTACTGTATCTAAGTTAGGGGCCTTTTTTCTGTCATGTCACAGTTAAGAGGGAGAGCTTTCTCCTCAGTCACATTTCTCTTTACTGCTGACGTTCTGCATTACTAACAACTTTTTCCCTTACTCTCATTTTCATGCCTGTCCAATCTTGACATCCTGATGAGCAGTGCAAAGTCACCCAAACCTACACAGAAAGGTGATGATGAAAAGTCTCCAAAGAAGGTAAATCACACATTTTCTTCTCTTCTCTGCACACTACACAAAGTTGGATGTGGCTAAATCTGACCACATGATCCTACTTAGTGAGGCCAATTTTGTACATCTTGATGGAAATGTGGCGTCATATTGACCAGGGTAGGGTTGTGATGTCCATCCATAACTCGTGCTCTGTCTGTAATTAGCACCAGGGTGAAGATCCCTGCCCCAGTTACCCACTGACCCCAGCTCAGAGCGTCATAGCTGCAGTTTGTTCAGCAGCTTGTCATACTAGATTACCCCTCTACTATTATAGACCCCATCATTCGTAAGGAATATTTACATGCATGCCAGTACCAGGAAATAGGGATGTTATGATCTTACTCTTAATTTAACTAAATTATTCCAGCATTCTGGATAATTACAGACTTCATGTGTGCATTTGTTTATCAACAACTATTTCTAACACAGGCCATAAACTACCTTTGTTCATTTTGTTGCATTACAGTTGTGCTGTGTTTAATGTAAAGCATGTCCTCCCCTCAGGTCAAGTCACCTAAGACTGAACCTGTGGAGTCAGCCAACGGTCCCAGGTAGGGATAAACTCATCATACCAGTAGACTGTCTCTTTATAAAAGACAGGGTTCGTACGGGTGCTGGAAATCCTTGAAAATGCGTGACATTTTACGAGGTGTTTTCAAGGTTTGAAAAGTGCTTGAATTTTGGGAATGGTGCTTGAATTTGGGATAAAGTGCTTGAAATTGTAAATGCTTTACTTCGCTTTTTAGATTAAAAGAAAATAAAGAAGTCGGAGCACGCTTAATTGCTTCGCTTTTACATAAAACAGTTCCGCTCCGGCCTTCCCGCGCTATGCCCGTGACCTGCAAGTGTTTGTGTTACGTGTGACCTGGGCATTCTGATGAGAGTGATGGATGACTGTGTGCCAGGAGGTTGCAGTTTCAACAAGCGTTGGCTAGCAGAAGACAAATACAAGCCATGGCTAAGACGAGGGTCAAGCCAACAAGTAGCCTCCTGCAAAGTTTGTAAAAAAATGTCAGTTGTTCACGATGGGAGAGTCGGCGCTGACGAGCCACATGAAAGGTATGCCGTTGTAGAGCATTTTGGATTACGCTAACGTTGCATGTTACGTTTGTTTAAGCCAGTGGTTCTCAAAGTGGGGGGCGTGCCACCCCAAGGGGGCGCAGAGGCATGACAGGGGGGGCGGGAGAGACCAGGAGGAAAAATGGTTATTAAAAAAAAAAAAAATCATATTTGCAAAAATTATTGATTTGAAAATAATATGATACAGTACTATTACGTCTGGGTCTCTGTGTTTCATTAAAGCTCGGCTCTGTGTGCGTGTGGAACGAGCCATTTTGTGTGCGTGCGCGAGCGAGAGAGAGAGCGCACCGGTACCGGAGATCGTTGTTGTTAGCTTCTGGTGCTAGCGAGCTACGCTAACGGATATAAGGAGTTTTTTCAACAACAAAGTGGAGGAGAGTCCTCTCCTGTCAGACTGAGAGACTCAGTGAGCTAAAGGACTCTCAGTGTTATCTCAGTGGGTCTCAAATGTTTTGGTCACCATTAATGTAAACAATTATTTCCGAGGCACACGTTTATATGATCATTATAGTTATAATTTTTTTAATTAAAAACAGGTATGAAATACTATATGACATTAAAAAATGAATAAAGTTTAAAAGGGGAGTGATTTGTAAAATATTCATAAAGAAATAGTAAATCTGTTTACAGTTCTGTGTTGAGAGATGTATCCATAGATCTCTTAATTTTGCTCTCAAAGTGCACCAGATTGATGAATTTAACTTCAATATTTAAAAATCTTCCCGGGGGAGCTTGCCCCCGGACCCCCCTATGTGAGCTCCACACACCACCTATAAAAATAGCACTTTACCCCTGCTTACACCTATATGCCGTGAGCTGATTATCGAGCCTTCATTGTAACAATCCCCACACAAAACAGTCGTATTTGTGTGGGGATTGTTGCAGTAGAAAACTCCACTGTAGCGCCCGGTACATTAATGGGAAACCCTAAATGTTTCAGCACCCTCTATGAAACGTCAAGCTACCCCACAGCACCCCCAAAATAAATCTCTGGCGCCGCCACTGAGCCTGGCTATTTGTGTTGGGGGGGGCCCGACTTTTTTTTTTCTCCAAAGGAAGAAAAAAGTTTGACAGAAAAAGTTTGAGAACCACTGGTTTAAGCTAACGTTAGCAAGCTGAATAGCGAACTCGATGAGGGATAACAATAATAATAGCAGGGGACAATCATTTCAGAGGAGCGTACCTATGTTATGTGTGTTACAGTCGCCATCCTGTGGTTTTCAGAGGATGAAGCACTCACTGTTGTAATTTAACCCAGTGTCACGGCATTTCGTGTTATAGTCACGAAATATAATCTATTGATTCGACACAGAACGATTTTAAAAGCAATGTATTTCTACTGATGGTATGTTTCGTGCCTAAACTAAATGTGACTTGCTCTATCAAAATCAGTCACATTGACCCGAAGACACATTTTCGTTTGTATTACTGGTCTGGACCCGACCGGACAAAAAGAAGCAGGCACGAAACACACTACCAATAGAAATACATTGCTTTTAAAATCGTTGTGTGACACACAAAAAAGGGGAAAATTGTGTTGGCGAACACGAATCAATAGATTACATTTATTTTGTGACTATAACACGAAATGCCATGACACTTGGTTGCGTAATTAGACCTTAGCTTGTTAGTATGTTGTTATAAACTGAGGATTTGACCGCGTCGCTATGGTTGATACTTTTAGAAACAGGCTTTTATATAAAATTGAAGTATTATACAAGTAAAACTACATTTTGCTTTAATCCCATGTAATTGTAGAATGAACACAGTCTTCCTTTGAAGATGTATAAGTCAGGTGTCTTGAGTAGTCAGCATTACCTACAAATCATTGTACACATTTGTAAATATTATTTTCCACTTGTTACCATTTTGAGTCTATTTTTATGCAGCTCTGCGTGATTTTGTGGCTACAATTCAGACTAATACGCTACCAGAGGTGGAATAAGTACTCAGATATTGTACTTGAGTAAAAGTAGAAGTACATTACATTACATTACATTGCATTTAGCTGACGCTTTTATCTAAAGCGACTTACAATAAGTACATTCGACCAGGAAGACACAACCTTGAAGAAAACAGAATCATATAAGTACATCAGGTTTCATAGAGCCAAACATTTCAAGTGCTACTCAACTGGCTTTAGGTAAGCCAGCCCTTTATTAGTATAAAAGTGCTTCGTTAATCGTTAATCGTTCTAAGTACCAGAGTGTAGGGATACTCTGTTACAAGAATAAGTCCCTCAATCAAAATGTTCCTCATGTAAAAGTAGAAAATTATTATCATCAGAATATAGTTAAAGTAGCGACAGTAAAAGTAGTCGTTGTGCAGATTGGTCCATTTCAGAATAATATATATGATATGTTTTATAATGATTGATCATGAAAGTGTTCTCAAAGCTGGTAAAGGTGCAGCTAGTTTGAATGACTTTATATACTGCAGGGTAGCTGGTGGATTTACTCCAGGTGGAACTAAAGTCTGATTTAACACTTGGTTAGATTTCACACATTTGGTTGTAGTAGTAGAATCTTTATTTAGCCAGGAAAATCAATTAAGTACAAATTCTTATTTTCGATGATGACCTGACAGGAGGCAAAATGCTTCCTGAGGGGAAGGGGGTTGGGAGGAAGAAAATAAAAAGACAGACTCCGGGTACTACAGAACCCAGGAGACCAACACAATGACACAGAGCAGAGATGACAGGCATAGCAGTTAAACATATTTAAAATAATACTGCTGGGGTTCAATCAGTCATTAAAATAATATAGAACATTCATCCATTCAATCATTCATTCATTCATCCATTCATTCCTTCATGGCAATGCATACTATAGGAGAGGTCAAGACATTGGTAGTGAGCATCAGGCAAAGCAGTTGCATGTGTGTACCAGGGTGTTTGTAATACTGTCCCTGAAGGTGCGGGGGGAGATCAAGGTCTCCATCTTCAAGGTTTTTTGTATGATATTCCAGCTATCAGCTGCTGCAAACTGAAAGGCGGAGCGGCCAAAAGATGTATGGGCTTTGGGGATCTTTAGCAGGATGTTTGTAGCTGACCGGGTGTTGTGTGTGGGGGATGGGCGGAGTTGCAGTAATTATGTGAGGTAGAAGGGGGTGAGGCCTAGGAGTGTTTTATAAACAAACATCAGCCAGTGGATGTTGCCCCTGGTCTCAAGAATTTGCCAGAGAGTACAGATCACAGTGATGTGTCCTGTAGGGGGCATTGGTGGCGAAGCGGATGACGGAGTGATACAGAACGTCTAAATGATCGAGAGCTCCTTTACACGCTGAGCGGTAGATGGTATCACCGTAGTCGAACAGAGGAAGGACAGTCATCTGGACCAGACAGAGTTTAGCAGATGAAGTGAATGAGGAGCGATTCCTATATAGAAAGCTGAGTCCACAGGGCTCGACATTAAGGACTGCCCGATGGCCCGGGGCCATCTAGTATTTAGCTCGGGCAATGAAGCCTCACCTGCTGGTTGCCCGATCGGGCAATCTATTATGCCAGTGTCATGCAGCTCGCGGATCCAGTAATGAGTAGGGTTGGGTACCGAGAAGGTTCCAACGGCATCATTTAGAAATGTGAATTTCGGTTCCGCTTTTCGATGCCTGAGGAAATGTTTCTCGCCGCTCTCCGTAGCCTACTGTATGACTGCGGCGGGGCGGGAAATGTAGCGTTGTACCTACACTTCCTACAGCGTAACCTGAGACCAGGGCGCCAGATCTGTGGAGGCGCTGCGCTGACAGCTCTGGGAGGAAAAAAAAATGTTTTGACCGTTGGTGCTTACCCTAATTTTCAGCCTTGATGTAACAACATTCATAATTAAGTAAATGTAACACCCTTTTCATCCCAGTTACACTTTTCATTTGCCCTGTACGATGGGCGCTGTAAGTGATGAAAATGTGGGATGTTGGCTTATCTGGCACCCGCAGCTCACAGCCAACGTGCGAGCGAGCGAGGGAGAAAGGGAGGGTGCACCGGTACCAGCGCTGTTGTTATTAGCATCTGGTACTAGCTGCTCTAACGGAAGAAGAAGATGTTTCTACAATGATGTGGAGGGAGAGTCCTTTCCAGTGAGACTGAGAGGCTGATAACTAAAGAAAGAGGTAAAGAACTCTTGAGTGTTTAGATAGTTCACTTTAGTCTAAGTTATCTCAGTGGGTCTCAAACGGTTTGGTCACAATTTATGTAAACACATATTTCCAAGGCACTCCTTTATAATTATTGGGATAAAACAGGTTTGAAATCATTCCAATGTATACTATAGGACAGTAAACCAGACATATCGTTTTAAACTGGAGAGATAAAAACATATGCATAAATAAAATAGTAAAATAAGATATGAATGAAAAAATAAAATACGTTACATGTATTTGTTATTGGCTATGGTAGGTTATTGGTTATGTTCACATACTTATTTAATTATTAAAATGTAAACCGATCTTTTTCATATGGGTGTTTAGAGTTGTACCC